TGTGTGTGTGTGTGTGTGTGTGTGTAAATGTGAATGTGTGGTATGTGTGTGGTATGCGTGAACAATGCTGGAGTCTTTCTTTAGAGAAAGACTGGGCGTGCGGCGTGCGTTTCTTGAAAATGAGTTGCTGAACCTGTGGAGGAATCGTCACCATGGAAACTGAAATGAAAACGATGGAAGTTGAAGTCACACAGGATTTATCATCAGCGCAGGACTGAATGAAAGAATTGTTCTCTCTGTTTAGAGGACACAGAAGGAACTGTGTTGTCAGAAATGAAATTGTTATTGTACAAAAAATAATATTGCTGTGCCTTCAAGAATAATAACTTCTTTGATAGAATGCTTAAATGACCACACTGTTAATTTATTGTTGTATCAGGTGTTTGAGCAGCTATTTATTTCTCTGATTTTGTGCTCTGTTAACTAAGTCAATAAATTATTATTGCTTTATCAAAAGCTTTCTGCTCAGTTGTCACTTAAAGGAAAAACATCACACGTGCGTCATGGAAGCAGCCGCGTCACACAACTACAGTTTACATCTGAGTTTAAGTCATGGAAAAAAAAACATGCGCAGTCGGGACAAAGTCTTAGTCATCGGCCCGGCGCTGTGAATGTGTTTCCCTGTTTTTCAAGTACAGAAGGCGTAAGTCAGTTGCAGAGAGAAACCAGGGTGGAGACAGAAACTCATTGTGTTGGGGATAAAGAGGCAAAACAAGCTGGTGCAGAAACACAGCCCCCACAAGCCAATAAATGTGTGTGTGTGGGTTGTGAGGTGGGGGGGAAGCTGGAAAAAATTTGAGTAACCTGTCGAAACTCAAGATTTGATGGACGCAATTTGCAGTTTAATTACGTTGTGAACATGTTTTGCATCTTGTGACTTTGCCAAACCTTCAGATGTAAGTTCTAAAGGGCTGCAGGCCAAGGCCTCCACAATTTCCTCTTTGATGTAACCCCACCCGAGCCACAATATCATGTTCAGGTAGCTGGATGTTCCTGCAACATTGCATAAGTAGTTTGTCCACAGCTCTGCCTTCGCTCTGCTTTGCTCCCCGCTCCACCCTCCGCTCTCACATGTCTGCTCACAGCTCTGACATGCCCAGCAGAGAAGAGAGGGAACACTCAGACACATGGACCTCCCATTTGTTTACTAGCAGCCGAACAAGGAAGTGACTTCTGATTGGCTGTGGCGCACCCACCCTAAATCTTATTGGCTCTGACTTGCAGAGGGGACATGGAGGAAGCATGGTTTGAAAGTTGGAAGTGACTCGTGACTATTGGAGCACAGCTTCAAAGGGCACACACACACACACACCAAGACAGAGGACTTGCAATAAAGGCATTCCTATGAAATGACCTGGCTGGGGAGGATTTACCTTGTGTTCTTTGTTGACGTTGACTTTGTTTCTTTGTTCGTGTCCAGTGTACTGCACGCCGTGTATTCACGTGTGCCTGCACATTTGTGTGTCTTTTCAATTGGTGTGAGAAAGCTGTACCCTGTAACTTAAAGAGTGCAAGAAAAGAAAACAGAAACTCAATAAACTGCAGCTAATAATTAACAAGTCTAGAGAGTCTGCAGGGATTCCAATGGCTCTGACAAGGTGCACATAAGCAAAGCAGCAACATGCTGCTGGAAGATAATATGTGCAATGTTCACCTAAGTTGGTTTGCTAACATTACTAATTATGCAGTATTAAAAATGAACACTTGAACATACACCAGTGTTATAAGAACTATCCAATCCATCTTTGAGAAAAAGGAGAAAACCTGATTATTTAATTTGGTCCAATTCGCTAACACTGAGACGGAGAAGTTAAGATCCATACTGCAGCCAGCCACCAGGGGGCGATCCAGATATTTTGGCTTTACTTTTGGGGATCTGTCATGTCGTCCATCTTTATATAAAGTCTATGGATTTTAAATTTGGGGACCATGAATGTTTGTGCAGATATTTCATAGGAAACCATCCGATGTTTCAGTCTGAACCAACCAGCCGACAGACTGACATCGATGGAGCTATTCCACTCACATGACTTCAAATAAAACAAACACAAGGGGACAAGTTATTATATCATCTTTTTATTAATGTTATCTACTTCTCAATATCATCTTTTTTAACAGCAATATCCACAAAATATTAACAGTGTGCAAGAAAACATGAGTTATGGCACATCAGAGAACAGTTACAAAAAATAGATATATTTTCTTCATAATCAATCAAGGCAAAAAAGTTACATATACCGTATGCATACACAGGAGATCAGAACACAAAATATGAGTCTCGGAAAGGGCTCAGAGCCGCTTCACTGATGTTTGATATGAAAGTCCACCGGCGAGGAGCCGCAGCTCTCCCCACTCGACCAAACATGAATTTCACCGGGCTCGCTTCGTGTCACAACACCAGTGGATTTTCCATCTCGAGCCACGTGTTGTACTTTAAGACTGTTCATTCTGTGGATCTGATAACCCCAACACCAGCATTAACACAATATACGCCACTATAAGGCAAACTAACAACCAACCAATCAGACAAACTGTCAGCCGAACCAGCGATGGGTTACGGCTGTCTCTGATTGTAAGCCCAACCAGCTATGGAATGACTGAAATGAACAATGATGATAAAAATAAAACAGTATCTGTCAGATACCATCAGGACAACACCAGTGTGTGTGTGTGTGCAAGTCTATCTGTATATGAGGACCAATATAGTCATTATGAGGACATTTTGACTTTGTAAAGACATTTTGGCTGGTCCTCACAAATTGAAATGCTTGATTTAGGGTTTGGACTTGATTTTAGGGTTAGGCCTTTAGTTGTGATGGTTTAAGTTAAGGTAAGGAGCTGTTTGTGCAGTTTTTATAATTCCTCATTTCCTCTTTGTTTAACTCCACGCATAAGATAAGACATATTCATGTCATTATTGATTGTAGCATCATAATCAGCAAACAGATGATCTTCTTATCTACGTCTCAGAAAGAAATCAAATGAGTTGATTTCCTAAAACGTCTAAAACTAAAACGTCACCTGCAGCTGATTTAATAGAGCTGAGACAGACCTTGGGATAACTAATCTGAAAAGAGAAGTCTTAAAATAACTTCCTCACCCTTAACTGGGTTAGTTGTGGTTGCGCCTCCCTAAACTGTGAACACTGGCCTGGAGGGGGAGGCCATTCGTGCTGCTTGTCAAATGACCTCGTCTCCGGTCAGAGTCACCATGACCTGGAACGGCAGGACTGAAGTACAGACAGACTCCAGAGGCCCCTTGTGTTCGTACACACTGTCTCTCTCTCTCTGTCTCTCTCACACACACACACACACACACTCACACACTCACACTCTATTTTCTCCTCTCTGCCTGCTGCTCTGCCACATCATCCTTTTCAGCTACCAAACGCTAGCATCTGACAAACAAACACCCACAAATGAATATCTACAAATACACACACAGCCTCGATATCTACCCTCACTATGGCCTTTCTCCAGCTCCTACTATCTCCTTTTTAGGACCAGACGTAAATGAAAGATGAAGCAGGGCTTTGTATCAGGCAAATAATTCATGTTTTAACGTAGTATTGTATCATCAGGATATTGAAATGCTTGATATTTAGGGGAATATATGCTTTCTTGCTGGTAGATAGGTGAAAAAATTAACACCGCTCGCATGTTTCTAAATTAAAAATGAAGCTACAGCTTGTAAGCTTAGCATAAAGACTGAACAAAGGGGACACATACATCTGGCTGTGAATACAGGTGAGGAAATCAGCCTACTAGCACCTCTATAGTTCAAAACTGTCAATAAATAATACAATTATGTGTAAATAAACAAGTTTTAGAGATGGTGGTCAGCGAATTTTGCTAGTATTCGCAAGAGCCAGGCCTGTGTCCATTCTTTATGCAGAGCTGAGCTAACTCAAGGCGGGCAATAGCTCCACATTTACACTGCAGACATGAGAGTGGTACCACTGTGCATTCGCATTCTCCGCGGAAGGTACAATTTCCCAAGTCGTTATTCTGACTTTTATGTGTGCTTTGAAGTCGGAATGTAGAAAAAACATGTGGAAAAAACAACGCTGTTACAAAATGTGCTGTATTTATGTGTTTAAAGTATTTAAACAACACCTTGACACCTCTGATCAAAATTTGTATCATAAGGAGCAAAGAAAAAGGATCAGATATGACGGGCATATAGATCATTTTAATCATGTGCACATTAATCATAAAAATGATTAATTAAAAAGTGGTGTTAGGTGCCTGTGAGAGATACACATGTAGTTTGCATTTGACAAGTTTACATGAGAAGCTAGTAGTTAGAGCTGATTGATTATGTTAATCAACTTTCCTAGTTGTTATTCAAACTTGGCGTTCACGGGAATTTTCCTGCTTGGGAAATAATTTATCCGATTATTCTCCACTCACCCCCTGAATGCACAGTCAATCTTTTCCTCTAACTTTTTGCAAGAAAACTGAATAAGCACATTTCCCCAAGATATAAAACTATTCCTCTAACAACAAGCTAACAAATCTGTATATTTTTAGCAGGGCCTTAAAAACTCACGTACACACTCATCGATGAGTAGGTGTGGAGCCATTCACACACAAACTCACTGCTCAGCTCTCACCACCTCCAACTCCACACTACCAAACCTCAGCAGAACAGGTGGGTCGTATTGACCTAGTGATTAGAGAACAGAGCAGTGGGCTCAACCCCCCATGACTGTCTGTCAGAGTTGTTAATTCCCGTACAAGTGACCCCACCCTGCTCTGTCACTGTACGCAACTCCTGACAAAAGCCTTGAGCTAAATGCTAAAGTGTAAATATGATGGCACAAAGCTTTCTTCTTTCAGCCATTAACCGTCAAAACCAGCCCTCAACGCTCAGGCCTCACAGCTCCTCCAACTTCTGACCTCTGACAGTCGTCCCTCGAGTCTAAAAAGCAAATATAGGAGAGTGTAGGTGTGTGTGTGGATGTGTGTGTTGTCCTCGTCGTCTGTCGCCCACCAAAATCAACACTGGAGAAGGAGAAAACCTGTGGGCTGCTCCGGTGTTAAAGGACGGATCAGGAGGTTGGTTTTTGCATCTCGAATGAGTCAATTCATCCTTTAACAGAATATAATCCTAAACCAAACACGACTGGCATTTCTTTTTTAAAATTATTAATCTTCACCTTGTGGTTGTATTTGTATCTGTTGTTAAATAAAAAACCAACCTCCGCTATCACAAGCCTCTAAAACCTGATTAACAGAATAAAATTAAAATAAATAAATGATGACAGACATGATCCTGACCGACAGAACAGAATAAGTAGTACTAAAAAATCCAAACATCCACAGAGGGGGATTCTGTGTTTAGATTTTGTATCTTACAAACACTGTACAGGGTAATACTCAACTGACCAGGTTCCATGGACTCCATAGAGAGAGAAAACTCAAAAAAATAAAACCCAAAACAGCTACTCTTCAACTTATCACTTCTGCACATGTCTGAAAGAAAGTTTATACACTTAGTTTGTTTCTCTTAAGCTCATCCCCCCCCCCCCACGTCATCTTCAGTTTTTACAATCAAGTTTGGTTTTTCAGAAAAGGAGGAGCAACGTGGAGGAGCAGAGAAAACCGAGCGAGGGAGCGATCCAGCCTCCAACCGGTGTGAGCTCACGTTAAAGCGAGCTGTTACACTGGAGGAGACTGGGAACTTTAAAGACTGGTAAAGCCGAGCATTTTATCTAATTTATAGGCAGAATTAGTTTGCACTAAGACAAGATCCACTCCTCGGCTGTAGAGGCAAATAAAACAAACACCTCCATCTTTGCACAATCCAATGATTTCTCTTAATTTCCACCTTTCAACACTACAAATGAAAAGAACATGAGCGGAGAAGGCAACAAACAGAAAGCTTCATTTTTTACTTTTGGGGACAGTTTCTAGTTTTAAAGTCGGGGGTTTCTCCCCCAGCCTTCTCTCGGGTGGGGTCAAACTGCCCCCTCGCCCTCTCTCAGGTTAAAGCACAGGGAGGCCTGATGTACAATAGAAACCTTGAAGTTTCTATAGCAGGTATCTGGTTAGGTTTTACCCTCGGCCTCTGATCAGATCTCCTTCTGTTTCATTAACACTAGCTGGGAAAAAAGAAACCTGATCAACCAGGGGCAACACAAAGCAAAACATTAAAAAACTAAAAAAATACAGTATCGTCTGTTAAGTAACGCTTCAACGAAAATATCAAAAAGTACACTGAGTTCACAAACAAGTATCTCTTGATAAGAAAAATGCAGTAAACGTCCGGGGTTAGCTTAAGTTCTGTGTCGAGCTGGGTTCACCTCATAGGTGCAGATCTGAGGTCGGGTTAGACGTTGATTTCAGCCATAATAACAAACTGCAGCGGAATCAGTGACGGCAGATCGGTATCTATAGAGAGGACTCTTTGTACAGGTTGGCACAGCTGGGAGGTTTGGCCAAAGGCTGAAGACGGCCATAGTCAGGCCACAGGCAGAGAAGGTCTGGTGAGGCCGGTTTGAGTGGGAACATGCTATAGTCCGATAAAGGAGAAGGCTTTGGCCACTTGCTCCAAAAGGCCCTGCTATGAATTTGCACTGGGACAAAGCTCTAGGAGACTTTTGACTCTCATAAAAATAACTTTTAAGCTTTTTAACGGGACACCAGGACGTGTTTGGCACGGTTGGAAGAAGCACCTACCGCCCGTCTCTTTAGCCCACATGCATCCTCCCACTCCCGGCCTATGGCTCAGCTGTCCACCCTTCACCCAGCCCCTCAATTCAGGACAAACAAAAAATTAAGAAAAATCCCACTTTTCTATTAGTGTATAATGTCCAGATCCCTTTTCAAGTTAAGATGACACTTGTAGTTAATTTACCAGCATATATGAATATTACCAAAGCACCTTGGATCATACTCAGTGATATACTGATGTCGGCCACTGGGTGCACATGATACCTGCCCCTGAGCTGTGGCTCTGGGGTATGGCGCTTTTCCAGAGTGGCTCTTTTGGATGTATGTGTGTGTATGTGTGTGTATTTGTGTATGTGTGTGTATTTTTGTGTGTGTGTGTGTGTGTGTGTGTGTGTGTGGTTTCTAGATATAGCCCCCTAAGATGGGACAGGGGTGCTTGAAGTTGTGTGTTTGCATGTGTGCGTCTGGGGGTCAGTTGACAGTATTGATTGTGTGTGTGTCTATGTGTGTGTTTCTATGTGAGAGTGTGTGTGTGTGTGTGTGTGTGTGTGTGTGTGTGTGTGTGTGTGTGTGTGGGCAGCATGAGAAGAAAGCAGCTATAGGATGATGCAGGGTTTCTTGTCCTTGAACGGGTTTTCAGAGGTGGGAACCCCGACCAGCAGAGGGTCGCTACGAGCGTGCTGCTCACAGTAACTCATTAGGTCTGCTGCTGCTTTAGACACCTGACGAGAGAAGGGGGAGGTGAGGGAAGGGGAGAAAAGAGGGTGAGGGATTTAAACGGGAGGAGAATTGGGCAAGTATGGGAAAAAGAAAGGAGGAGCATAAGGAGCAGGGGAAAGGGGGATGATAAAGAAGTAAAAAAAAGTATATGGTCAAATATTTACACACACACACACACACACACACACACACACACACACACACACACACACACACATTTGGCAGTAAACCTTCGTCCTACCTTGATGCGTTCGATCCCTGCCTCAATCCTCAGCTGTTCCACCAGTTTCCTGGCCTGGGCGATATTATTAGTGGTAGACATACTGATCCATCAGAGTAGACCAGCACAGGAGAAAACTGAAAGAGAGCGAGAGTGAGATATGAAAAAAATGCTCACTATGCATGATAGCGATAAATGATCATCATCAAATATGCTGGCACGCCTCAGGTAGAAATGCAGGGAAAGGAAATGTTCGGCAGAAAACACACTGACGGCACAATCTCTACCAAACACTGGACTTTGGAACAGATCCTGCAGATACCTGGACTTTTCTGTCTCGTGTGTGACCAGGACACGACTGACTGCAAACAACCCCTTTGAATATCTGCATTTATAGATTTGTCTGAAATATTGTTTATTTGCATGATTTTATTTTAAAATCAAATACAACTTTTATGTTTTGTAATAATTATGGCTAAAACAATTTGCTAAGATTTCTGCAGATCATCTTGCGATTGATAACATTAAAATGACACCGTTATTTTATCAGTATTAATGATCAAATAATACCAAACAAATCATGAAATACTCTCACAGAGGCCATTACTTTCATTTTCACTTTTGCATCACTGTTGGTGGCAGATTGAAAACAAAACAGTCTATTTTTGACATCTCACTATTAATAATCTTATGCAAATGTACATCTTAAAATTGGTACGAATAATTAAACTGTGATTAATTTGCATTGTTGTTGCACTGATTTAAAGTGAATTAGCATGTGAGTCATTTCACCTGTGTTCAGAGGACAGTGTGGCCTCAGCTGTAGATGTATAGCACCACTCTGAGGTGAAAACATAGTGGTGCAACACTAATGATCAAGAGCCTATCCTGGTGAAAATACAGTTTGTGGAGATACTGAGCACAGTTTAACTAAGAATGGGGTGTATGTTCGTATGATACATCAATATTCATAATTTATACAGCATATTAAGATTTTAGCCTTGATCACACATAAAAAACACAATCAGTATTTATCATATGTTTCCAGAATTTGTGAGTTCACTTTGTTAATTCACGAGAAGACTTATTTCAGTGACTCACAAATATTCTTCAGATTGAGTGTTGTGGGAACAAAGTGAGTGCACTACCTGAGTGATGGTGCACAGACAGGACCCTCTGGACACTGATGTGACTGGATGGAGAGGAGGTCGATGTCAGCTGAGCGGGGGGACGGCCGTGAAACAGTTGCTGAGTCAAAACGACAGAGCCGGGCGAAGGGCTGAGCTCACATCGGCTTGACTCTAGAAGTACAAGGAGAACAGGGGACATGAGCAAGTGATTGGGCAACTAAGATAAAGCTAATTCATATTTACACATTTGGAATTGTTTCCATTAGCATTTGTGTGTGTACCTGGGGATCTCCACATTTTCAAGCCAAAAAGTGTATGGGTAGATTTTTGTTTTAGTAAGGAGTGGTGGAGGTTTGCCTGGAGACATATGATTTGAATTTGAACATGAAATTGAGGATTAAATAAACTGTTATTCTTACATCATTTCTAATAATAAAAAAACAGGCTTCAATGAGAAAGATCTCAAACTACCAACTAACTACCATAAATAAAGAGACAGGTTTTTCTGCTTGGAGCGAGATAAAATGTTTTCCCTGTAAATGGAAGAACTGGATCATTTATAATGAACTACAACATGCACATAAACTTATATACTTATTTATATTATACATCTCAAGATAATCAACTTATATACACACCCCCCTTCAATAATGAACACTTATAATCACAGCTGCTATATTTAAGTTTCTCATTTATTTTGTTAACTTTTACCCCCTCAAAAAATTCAGATGATAAAATTCCAAAATATTTGTGGTTGTATGCTCAAGCAAAAAAACCCAATAAAGTAAATGACAGTAAATTGAAGATCCTGGGGTTTGGGATTTGCATCATTACCAAACTGTCATGATCATCTTTGTGATCAGAAATCATTTTATCCATCATCACAACTTGTTCCATCACCAAAGCACCAGTAACATCGCTTCACCGATCAGAGAGTGGGAATACTCAGAGTAATATTGACACAAATCAAACCCATCTTTCTTCTACCTTTCGCAGCCAAAACCTGTAAATGCTTTATTTTCTGTCTGTTACACTTCTCTCATCACAGCGTGGAAGTTTTCCCACATACTATCAAAAAACACGTCGCTCTTCACGCACATCGAGTGTTACGACTGTGTCTCTCACTCTGTCTCTCTGTCTGTCGCCCTCTCTCCCGAGGACAGAGACCTGCTTTAATTACTCCGACTGTGGAGTAGCTCGGAGATTCATGGCTGTAATTAAGGCCTGTGTGTGTGTGTGTGAGAGGAAATCCATTGTCTGCTGCTGTACCCCCAGTCTAACCCTGATACTAATCATAATCCCAACCTTAATCCTGAGCCCAAATCCTAATCCCAGTGAGACAAATTGTGGCACATGGCTCTCCCTACATTAGCCACTTAAATCTTAAAAGGTTAAGGGATTCTTATTATTATTATTGCAGATTCTGGCCCTGGGATTACTTGGTATCAGATTCTAATCATTTATGATGGGGTATCAATCGGCCCTATTGGAAATGTACCATCATTTTAACCTAACCACTGTAACATAACACAAAAGCACTAAGCGAGACCGAGCTAATGACAAATAGTGAATAAATAAGGCAAGTTTAAATCCTCAGAGGTCATGTTTGCCTTGTGGGACAGGCCTTTGGTCCCCTAATGGAAGCTAAGTGACCATGTTGTGAATGTGCGAATAGATTTATCCCCTTAAATATGTTTATCTTTCTCTCTCTCTCTCTCTCTCTCTCTCACACACACACACACACACATTTTTTCCATCACACCATATTGCATGCTTGTCCTTATCTGTCAGGGTTTGAGCCGTGTCCCTAAATCACCCCGTATGCCGCATCAGTGATGAATAAACTGTAGATATACCCTTAACAGGAGATGCTTCACTTTAGGATACAACAACATCACACACTGTAAGCTCGACGTTTATCACAGAGCAGAATAAAACTGATTTGGACACTTGGACACTGGACTCTAGTTTTTGAGGCAGACAGATAAAAGTGACACCATCTCTCACACCAGGATGATGTTGAAACAAGCTGACAGCTCTCCTCACACCCTCCTCCTCCTTTTACAACCTGGTGTAACTTTCACATGTGATTTCTTTGGTGTGTTTTTTTTAGAAAGTGAATGTTCAAACGCAAGAGATGGTTCTGGTGTTTCCACGTTTCCCAAAGCAAGAACTGAGGAAACACCTTTAAGAAATGGACAACACAGAGATATTATAAGCTTGGATTTCCTCAGCCTGTTGATTTGATCTAACTTTCTTTGCTGGGAGAATTGAGCTGGACCATTAAAAACCAGCACATACAGTCAGGTCTTGTGTTTCCTATACACACCCCCACATTGAAACACTCATATATAGAGAGAGAGAGGGAACAGAGACAGGAACCCATGCACTGAGATGGACATTTGTCTTGGCCTGGACCAAACACCACCAGAGCTGGACAGGCCCCAGCCACGCAGCCTGCAGCCATGCGAGCCCAGCACGGCCGCTCTCGAGACGCGCAAACATGCATCAATCCTTATCGATCCCAGCAGCAGCTCCGGAGCGGACGGGGCCTGCAGCACGGAGCCACATCCTCCACCACAGGCCCCTGCTCGCTGCTCCACCGTGTGAAAACACAATGCGGGCATTTTGATGGATAGAACAGCATGTCCTCTCTCTCCCATGGCTATCCACACACACACACACACAAGCGCACACACACAGACGCACAGGCGCGCAGACCTTGTGCACATATCACAAAGCCTGAGATATTTTCTCCTGTGAGCACCGGAGCGTTTCGAGGCCCTGGTTGTTAGCCGTGCCTGGCAGCAGGGTGGTGACATGTTTGGAGGGAGGCAGCCAGTATGTCAACCCCTCCAGCGACAATGGGCACAAGACTGGAGCGCATGCCTTTATGCTCCGCTATTACACAAAGTGACACGGCCTCTACTTCAACGCACGAGATCCAGAGGTTGTTGTTTTGATTTTTTTGGATACAGTGGTTCGTGCGTCCTGGCGAGCTGAAGGAAATCTTCCACTGACCCTGTCCACGGTCCTCCCCACCCTCTCTGCCGGCAAAGGGCTGGGGAAATCCGGATTCGTGACACTGATGAAGCCCCTCTCTCTCCCCCTCTCTCTCCCTGCTGCTGCAGCCGCCCTCGGTGTCGGGAGAACGGGGTTTTTTTTCTTTTGCAGAGGCGCACGGACGCGTAAGGATTATTATACACGGGGGAGGAAAAACAAAATACCCGAATATCTCCAAACTCACCTCCGATTGCGCTGTATTGGTGATTTAAAGGGACAGATCCGCTGCTTCCTCAGCCGCTCCACTCGCTCACTCCCCGTCCTCACCGAGCCAAACGCCTCCCCCTCCGATACCAGTGTCTGTCCACTCCTCTGCCCCCCTTCTCTGCCTCCCTCTCTCCTTCTCCCTCCCTTCATCCATCCGAGCCGGTGACAGCAGCTGTAACCCAGGGGCTCTCAGACCAACATCTCATGTATCACCCAAACAAACCATTTTGAATATGCACATGAGCCAAATGTATCCTCATGGAGGCAGAAACAAATGCAGGCGATGAGGTAAATCATGTATTTTCTTGAGGAGCCCTGGTGCCTTGTTTGGAGCTTATAAAGACTTAGCCTGCAAGTTTTCAGACTATATATGTATATATAATGTTTTAGCTTGTTAATAAAACAATGTTCTCTCGATGTGTAAGACAGTGGCTGAGGCTGAATGGTCTTTACTTTATTTTTCTTTATTTTATTGTAAATTACAGCTGTTGCTCGAGGTCACACAAAATAGGCTACTGTTGAGTTTACCATAATTTTTTTCATTTACCACCATTGACAAAAGCTGCATTTAACCTTTGAGTGTCTCATATAGGCTACACATACAAATCTATTTAGCCACTTTTCACATATTCTTGTATTTGAAATACGCCATATTGGTTTACATATTATCTCAGAACAAGTGACCTATGTAAATGC